TAAAGAGTTTTCAGCTCTCAAAACCCTGATCAGCAACAGATTTTCTGTATCATACATAGTGATCACTGTAAAAATTATGTACTGCAATACATAGCATTATTTCATAACAGAGTTTTAAAAAAACAATTTCCAAGGCTCTGCCAAGGTTATATAAAAAGATGGGAACATATTAAGTTATTGCATGAAATGGAAACAATGAAGTGTTCCTTTTATCAAGTTACCAAGATATTTTTATCAAATATTCATGTCAGCGATGCTTCCTCTCACAATGCTATAAATCATTTCATTGTCACCACTGTGATTTTAATGCACAATAAGACAATCATGTGATTTTGTAATATTTATACATGCATATAAAAATGTCCAGTCCCTTCCTGATCTTAGTAACAGGCTGTAGTATACTTAGTCATGCAAGTTGAATAAAAAACACAGCTGTAGTACACTTTCACATACATAGGAGATAAAAGTCAATTCTGTGTCAACTATTAACTGTCCCATGATAACCAAATTATGTAATCAACTGTCCCATGATAACCAAATTATGTAATAAATCTGTGTCAACTATCAACTGTCCTATGATAACCAAATTATGTAATAAATCTGTGTCAACTATCAACTGTCCCATGATAACCAAATTATGTAATAAATCTGTGTCAACTATCAACTGTCCCATGATAACCAAATTATGTAATAAATCTGTGTCCCCTATCAACTGTCCAACCTGTCCTATGATAACCAAATTATGTAATAAATCTGTGTCAACTATCAACTGTCCCATGAAAACCAAATTATGTAATAAATCTGTGTCCCCTATCAACTGTCCCATGATAACCAAATTATGTAATAAATCTGTGTCCCCTATCAACTGTCCTATGATAACCAAATTATGTAATAAATCTGTGTCCCCTATCAACTGTCCTATGATAACCAAATTATGTAATAAATCTGTGTCAACTATCAACTGTCCCATGATAACCAAATTATGTTATAAATCTGTGTCAACTATCAACTGTCCCATGATAACCAAATTATGTAATAAATCTGTGTCAACTATCAACTGTCCCATGATAACCAAATTATGTAATAAATCTGTGTCAACTATCAACTGTCCCATGAAAAGCAAATTATGTAATAAATCTGTGTCAACTATCAACTGTCCCATGATAACCAAATTATGTTATAAATCTGTGTCAACTATCAACTGTCCCATGATAACCAAATTATGTAATAAATCTGTGTCAACTATCAACTGTCCCATGATAACCAAATTATGTAATAAATCTGTGTCCCCTATCATACTGTCCTATGATAACCAAAATATGTAATAAATCTGTGTTAACTATCATCTGTCCTATGATAACCAAATTATGTAATAAATCTGTGTCCCCTATCATATGTCCCATGAAAACCAAATTATGTAATAAATCTGTGTCAACTATCAACTGTCCTGTGATAATCAATATATATGTACTAATGTAAGTTTACTGATAGCAAAATGACTTTATACCAATTAACATACATACTGTTAAAAATATGTAAAACAATACCTTAAGAGCTCTGAGTTTTATACAAATTCATTTGTCTTGAAGCTAACTATTAAATAACTAAATCTGACATTTTCTGTCATAATTAACAAGAACTACTAACTAACTATGACTGTTAAAAGGGATCAGGTACCATACACCATTACAACTGATCTATCCTGATGTATAACACACTTTTGTCACAAATAATGTATGATATTGTGCATTAAAACCTCTTTAGTGATAATATTAATGAAGTCATTGGATTACTATTCAAACAACAGATTATGCAGATTTGTTCTTTGAGAATTAAAACAACCTGCATTCGCCACAATGTGCCTTAGGAAACCTTCACTGAACTAAATATATTCTTTTACCCTCTATCAGGAATAAAATGAAGATTTTGTTCCGCACCATAGCTTTACATTTTTCATTATATGAACTTATCATACAATGATTAAAAGAGAATCTCAAGCAGGATATCAAAAGAAATTACATACCTGGTACCATTATACTCACTTACAAACTGAGTATCATAGTTTATGTACAGCGTTACACTTGTACACTTATGTATATATAGTAAGTAATATTTGCAAGGAATTTCATTTCACTTGATACACTATCATTAAAGATATTGCAAAATTTAAAAACCCAGCAATTACTTTTACAGTGATTAAAATCTCAGAAAATGTGTCCTACTTAATATAATTGTACAACACTTGTAATTTGCATTGTTATTTATGTTAACGATAATCTCCCTTTACATATATCTAAAAAACACAACGTAGCATTGCTATATATAACTGATATTTTCTCGTTTTAATTCACACCTTTGAGAATGAAAAGTAAAAAATGCTACCACAAAAATATGTATGTAAATTGCAGTATGAATAAGTAATACATATATATATGGGCAAATCAGAGCTGGATGATGTCTTCACCCATATAGCTCACTGCCAATTATCCTTAACACAAGAACAGGGATTTCTGGCTTAGAACACTTTAAGGAATACAACCCACATCAGTTTTAACACAAAATCTTTTTCATACAGGGAACATTATTTTAACACATAATCTTTTCATACACAGAGCATTGTTTTTAACACAGCAACTTTTCATACAAGGAATATCATTACTAACAAAGTGTAAAATTTCCTTAATTCCTAATTGTGTTTGTTTCACAGTACAAACAACGCATCAATTACAAATCAAATGGACAATGTGAAGGAGCAATGGACATGTATTGTGAATTTTCTAAAACTGGAATGAAACAATTCTAGTTCTGGAATCTAATAAATATTATTCAAAATGGAATAGTATTAATGTGTAAACTCTTCACATCTGTTGGTGAGGTTATTATATATTTTAATGCCTCTGCTAGGATTTGAACTTGCGACCTCTGGCTTACTAGTCTGACATTCAACCGATCAGACTAGTATTTTACCAGGGTTACAGACTTGTTCTCAATTTAAGGAATCACTAACAAACACAAAAACATTGGTAGTACATTTTGTGAAACATACCTGGTAAGAATACCGGTATCAATTTTAATGGAATACAGAAATTTCATTTCAGGCCAATTTTCACATTCAATCAACTTTAAATTTGTGTAAAATTAGAAAATTTTTCAAAATGTGATATACAAACATTCAAAATAATATTTTTGTTCAGACAGAAAAATAGACTTCAACTGTTAAAAAATCAGTTTTAACCAGTAAAATAAATGCTAATCATAGTAAATGTTTACTATCCCCGTAGCTATTTTTAGTTTTAAAGTGTATATTAACAAACATAAAGTCTTCAAAGCTGATCCTTTTGAAACTGTCAGCTGCAGAGTTGTTGATTCTGGATGTTATTAAGTTATCTAAACTTAAATATAGCTAGTACTGATGTAGCTACACTATCCAGACAATAACTGAGAAATAACAAAAATTACAAAATCCACTATATTTATGCAGATAAAAGGCCAGATAGTTGAGATTAGAAAAGTTTAACAAGGAGAAAGTATTATTTTATCATTTCCAAGTAATTACATTGATGAATCTCTGTAAAATTATTGACTTGCACATGTTGCTAGACATTAAATTTAAAATACTATATCAATAACGGTAGATTCAAAAGATTCAAATGAAAAACATTAATATTTTAGTAACTAAACAGACCATTTATTAGCAACTTCCACATCTGGACTCGATAAGCTGTTTTAATGTGTCCCAAATACATATTTCTTTGATATAGTCCATATTTGTGAGTATATATATATAACATGTTTATGACCCTAGTGTTAACTTTCTCACAAATAAACACAATAATAAGACACTTATCACATGAACAATCAATGGTAGAAACCAAATGATAAGGTGGTCCAGAAGTATGTGATATATCAAAACAGTACTGAAGGTTTTATTTGATTTCTTGTCACTGTGATAGCTACATTGCATTCAATGGAGAAAAATTGTCATAATTTTATAAAATGTACACAGCATGAAGCAAATTGGAGTCATTCCATGGTCTTGTACAGATGAATGTACAAATGTATATAAATGTTAAAAGTTTCCATAAACTGATCCAAAATGTGGAGAAATATACAAGTGATGTCGGAAATCGTGGAAAAAACATGAATTTTGGAATGTTTCTTTTTATGTTAACCAAATTTATCCCTGAGATTCCTAAATTGATCCAACCTAATGTCGGCGTACTCACTATCAAAATAACACCTATCTATATGTGACAACGCCATTGTGATGATGAATCTAAAGCATATAATTCCTGAGGTTGTGATTAACTAATTCTGAATTATTAGCGAAATATGCACTAAAATTGCTCATCATCTTCCATATCCTTCGGATCATTTTTGGGTCAAACCATGTAAAATCTATGATAAAAAATTATATGCAATAATACAGATCCCCAGATTTTCTTACATTAATCGTCAGAAAACAAACCAGTGCATTCTCCTTCCCCCCTCTTTTTATCTATTTTTTTCTTTTTGGTTTTGTTCGAAATTTCAAAATCTAATAACTCTTTTATACTTGGTCTACTCTGTCAAAGGACATATAGAATAAGAGCAAAAAACAACCAGTCCTAAATATTGAAGTTATAGCATCATACTCAGGTAGAAATATGTCTTCAGTTATATTAATATACTGGCCAAACATCATATTATAGAGAGATTCCCAATTTTTCATTGTCTCATTGTCTGACAATTTTTTCTTTTTATTATTATTTAAATAACTGTATTTTCTTTGTGTAGTTTATAGGCAGGGTCTACTTTGGTGTCATTGGCATGTTAGAGACAGTAATTATGCCACTTCACAATTTACAACAGCAGTAAGTACTCTGAAATGTATTTATATTTGTAGAAATACAGAATTTCTTAGCATAGCCAAAACATAATTCACCACAATACATGTACAAAATTGGAGAATATAAAATAGTAAAATAGCTTTTTGAAAGTGGTAAAATTAGTCATGTTATTTAAAAAGACTTTTTCATCTTAATTTTTGAATTGGCAGAAATACTATGTCATAATTAATTACATAGTGTATATCAATATCTCCAAATCAGTGACAAGAATGAACAAAATAAAACAGAAGAAAACTTCCAATTTAAGTTTCCATTCAACAAGAAATATACATGGTACATAGCCATATATGTCATGGCCCAAGTCAAGGGAAGTAACTTGTGCAGTTTAAGCACAGCATGGACATCACATAGCAGACTTGTAAACTTGAAAATCAGGTGCCCATACAAACAACCTCTCATCCACACACTGGTTCAACCTTAAAGTCTATGAAGCACTACTGGTTCTCTCTATCTGAATATTTTTTTGTACAGTTGTGATTAGCACTAGTGGTTAAGTGTCCTATTTTCACCTGTGATGAAGCTTAACACATCAAAGTTGTTCATGTATATATCATGTTGTTTAAAGTGATGCCATATGGTACATTTACATGCTGATAGATGAGGCATACATGTTTACACAACATGATTTGCTTAATACTGCTGATAGCATTACACTATACACCTGTATTAAGGCTTATAGTGATTTAAAATGAATCAAACCCAATTGGGTTGTTCTCCGTTTCTATGGTCAGCTCAATTCATTCATATGCTTGTCACAACACAAGTCACATTCACTGAGATGCTTATCAGAATACAATTAGTTATAAATCCTACTAAAATAAGTGGAACCGTGTCATCCATCCAGAGGTGGTCCAAGGTACACCATTGACACTTCCGTGTTTCCATAAACAGCTGACACGGACGGGTACAAAGGAGTATCCGGCAAACCCCGAAATGCAACACCTGATAAAAAAAATACATATCTATTTAAAATAGGTTAGAAATAGAGGGTGTATTTCATATGTGTGTATTTCTCATACACAAGAAAACCCTGACATCATTTGTATACCATTATCTCATCAGATATCAACAAATTCCTTTGCTATTCACAAAAACATTCCTAGTTTTGCAAGGGAAAAGATGATAAAGACATCCTTTGTTGGATGGGAAAAAAGGAAAGTGAACAATGTTTAAGTCTTAAAAATATACTTAAAAATTGGTCAACATATCCCCTCATATAAAAGTAACCATATCATAATTGGATAACATCTTTTATACTTATTGGGCCATTTGTGATACATTCATGAACAGGTCAGCAAAACAAATTTCAGTATCTAATGATCAGAAAGCATGGAAGGAAGGTAAATGTTTTCCTCTGATGAAGGCTAATAGAATCTTACACCCCTGTGTTCTATAGACAGGGATATCTCAAACCGAGGTTTTTTTTTCCAAAGTTTATAGCTAGAGGCTTGCCGAGAGCTATAAATTTGAAAAAAATATCCCGAGGTTCGGGATATCCTTGTCTATAAAACACAGGGGTGATTGATTATTTTTCTCCCATACTTTTTGAGAAAAAAAAATCCTGTAGTATAGGCCTACCTTAAGTACATGTGAACCTAGTGTATTGTCATGAATGGCGTATGAATACAATGACATGTAAATTAGGTTGACATGTATGTCATGATACTACAATTCAATGCATGTTTCAAGTTACGAAATAAACATTTATTAAACATATTTTGATAGTTTTAGGTGTATATTTCATACATCGTAAACAAAATTAGCATTTGATTACAATATAATTAATCGTATCACTTCCAACTATATTTTGTTTGCACACAGTAGACCTTGTACAAAAGTTCACTCTAAGTCCGAATTCAAAATTCTAGGACTCTTCGCCTGAGCTTGGACTGAAGTGTTACTATTGTTTATCATGATACTGAATATTCCACCAGTTATAGTAGCACCCTGGAAAAGACCACACACTTCATTTTCCATAGATTCATTACGGCGTTTGCACAAGGAAATGCTGTTGTGCGCTGATGACACATGTGTAATGTTCGGTTGATTTCCTGAGGTATGTACATGTACTCAAGTTTGGTCACGGTCTGGGTGGGGCGGCCAGATGATGACAGAATAGATGACATCGTTTGTTTCTGTTTGTTATTTACAGTTCTATAGTTGTTTAGGGATTGAATGTTTTTGTGTCCAATTACAATAATCGCCTGTGCGTCATGTACAGAAAATGGTGACGCAATTATTTCTTTTTTAAAGTGCAGTGGGTCAAAGGTCAGATAAATTGAAGTGCGCTGTATATTGCATAATATATTATAATGAGTGTGTGCAGTATATCTTTTCCCTACCTCGGTAAAGACAGATTTATCTTTCCCTACTCCGAACAAGGATAACCCTGTGAAGTATGGGAGAAAGAGATGTCTATTTATCCTCAGGATATAATTGTTTACATTTAGCCTGAATAAACTGATATCTGTCATATCAAATTAAGTGCATGTGATGATCATGGGCTGTCCTTTTAATTAGGGAGACGAAAAAGTTTTCATTTTTCTAGCAAAAACATAATGTATGGAAGAAAATTTGAAAACATACTTGACAAAGGCGCACTAATGATCATCATCGATGAACTTGACTATCTAATGAGACACCATTTGAATGATAACACAAAAGGATGTTATACTAACATTACATTCAGTTAGATCAAAGCCCGTCAAAACATTCACTGCAAATGGCAATTGACAATGCTTCATTTACACAAACTTTCACCTTCTGAAATTTTGCAACTTTCTGTGTTGCATATGCAATGTTGATAGCATTGTTTAATCCAAATTTAATTAAGAGATTATAAGATACAATATCCCTATCCTAGATATCAACAAGCAAGTTCATGTAATTTGTGTCCCCCACTCTCAATGGTTCTTTGGTTGATTCTATATATAAAGTCTGACTAAAGGATGGTAAAATGCATATTTGTAAACCAAATTCCGTTCAAATTCATTGACATTAAGCAAAGTTATTGCACAGAAACTAAAACGGGATAGATGGACAATGGCCATTAAGACAGACACCTCCAAATTAATGGCCAGACAAACTGACACAGTTCCCAAATCAAGATAGTTAAACAGCACTTATACTGGAGTTGTCAAAAAAAACCCAGTGTCATGATTTGCTCATATACTCACCTAAAAATTCATAATTTTTCTCAAAAGCTAGCGTATTATCATCACAATCTAATATAACTCGTATTCTTTCTCCAACCTGAAAATATCAAACACACAGAATGATTAATTATATATCATACAGTTTTAAAGGAAGAAATATTTGTATCATTCACATTCTGAATCTTGTTTTTTAACTAAATATTTGTGAATTACAAGACTACCAGGCATGCTATTCTAAGACTAAAGAAGCTGTTCAACAATTTACACAAACATACATTATATGATACAAAGTGATATAGACTCACAGACACTTATGATAGCACAAAAAACTTCAGTAATTGTTATGTTTGATCAAAGGTAGCATATTATAGAGCGGAGATAACTCAGTGTGATAGTGTGCATACACATACAAATAATTTTGTTAACTTAATTTTGATGAATGTGTGGACAACGGTAAAAATTGTGATTACAAACTAGAACTTTCTCCAAGGTTGCAGACTAAAAACCCCTGCTCCCACATCAATTCTGATCAACTTCTTTGCCCCCTCAAACTATAAAGCATTTGAATAGATTAAGGAGTACAAAGTAAGCTCTGGGGGAGATGGACAAGGGGCAATAACTCCAAGAGCAAAAGCTATAGACTATTAATAAAAAGAAAATGTACATGCCCAATTTCTGTCAGTGTGTGTTGATATATCAGTGATGTATCACATTTGGAAACAATCTCAATGTTCCCCAAAAATTGGCAAATCCATAACTTGTATCTCTAATTTTCAAGGACTCCTCTATCTAAATACATTAATGAGTGTTAATATTGTATCCCCAGTTTTAAAATGCCGCGAGGGGGGATCTTAAATCTATAGGAATTGTCAGACATGTATATAAGCAATGATTCCATTAACTGCTGGTATAATAGCAGTAAATTTTAGGATCAGATATTTGAGTGTTTTCCTGTAGGACTCGTTCAAATTTTAGACCCAACATGTATCATATATACATGCATCTCTTAGTATATGGGATCATCATAATTTTGTAACGGTGTTCAGAACTTAACTTAAAAAGACACTATAAAAATTATTTAGTATAAAAGGTAGACCTATGTTAAAACTTGTTTGTTCCCAAAAATAAACCCTGGTGCACTACTTCACTATGTGTTGACTATAACTTGAAATTAAAGCATTCAAAATTAATAAAAAAATCAGGAATTGTGCAAACAGAGTACAACAATGTTTGACCTCACCAAATAAAATTTAATAAGAGACCCATGGCCTTAATTAATGGTCATTTGTCTTCATAATAAAACATTAATAAACAATTCTGATATGTTAGCAGCTAAGTTTTGTTTTTGTGAGGTACTGGTGTATACTTATTAGGCAGATTTTGTTAATGTATGTGTCACAGGGTAAATAGGAGTAAGTGTCTGTAAACGTCCTGTTTAATTTGTATTCGTTACTGTCCGTGCATTTACGTGTATGTCCTTATTCGGTATGTTACCTGTTAGGTATTGTCAGTGTCTGTCCTTATATGGAGTTGTCTTGAGATGTGTATGTGTCCAGGGGTGACAGGTGAGGAAGTTGTGTGAGAGTGCGTGTGTAGGGTAATAAAACTAGGGATACCACTGGGTGCTGGGCAGAAGTACTGGTGTATACTTATTAGGCAGATTTTGTTAATGTATGTGTCACAGGGTAAATAGGAGTAAGTGTCTGTAAACGTCCTGTTTAATTTGTATTCGTTACTGTCCGTGCATTTACGTGTATGTCCTTATTCGGTATGTTACCTGTTAGGTATTGTCAGTGTCTGTCCTTATATGGAGTTGTCTTGAGATGTGTATGTGTCCAGGGGTGACAGGTGAGGAAGTTGTGTGAGAGTGTGTGTGTAGGGTAATAAAACTAGGGATACCCCTGGGTGCTGGGCAGAACCACAGATTAGCTATGTCACTCTGGACGTCCTCAGGAGTCCAGGAGTCCAGGCGCCACATGTAGCTATGGATGTAAAGTACTGACACGAACTGACGGTCGGTGATATGAGATAGTTTCATTCCTAAACTAAGGGTACCAATAAAAACGTTTAACACACAACAAATTCTCGTTGATGGTTTGACATATGGAATGATTCAACAACATATGCATTTGTATATTGGACTTGACTGCATTACATAACCACCATGGACCCACAACAGATCATTGTCAGGTAGTTCCACTCCATTAGGTGTATTACCAATGATTATAGTTTATCAGGTAATTGTCTTGTTCGCTATTTATTGTTCTGTAATTTAGTAGTGTGATACCTTGATGTGAAAGTGAAAGTAGAAAAACTGGATGTTGACAGAGTGGTGAAGGACAGGAACGGAGGGTGATAAAAGCGCGCAAGCTGTCGAGAATGAACAATTGTTTTTTAATCTGGAAACTACCTGGAAACTACTGGATTAACTAGAATCTGAAGCTGAATGTTTGTAATATGTATGTGTATCAATGCAGAATATTAGAATGTTAGTGTGTTGGTAAGTCTCGCGTGTTGGAAAATTGTATTGCAATTTGTCAGTAATGGCCATGTGTATGTTGACAGCTGTACAAATTTAGCAGACGAGAGACTCGCACTGATGTTGTTTGATTATGCATCAACTGAACAAATACTATGATTAAACCTTTTGGGCAAGTTTTCAGTGTTGCAAACACTGTGCTTACATTTATCAGTGACAAAAAGGTCCACAACAAGATGGCTATTGATGCAGGTTGCCCTTCAAATTGCAAGAACACTGACAGTTATCAATGAGACACTGTCTAATAATAGGAAGCGTCAAAGAGACAGAAAACCTGTAACCAACCAACCAAGATGATGGATACTGTCTCTGCCCTAGGAAACCTGTACATTTTACATGTATGAGCCTAGTCCCAGTCAAAGGTCTTGGGATAAGATGCTGGCAACCCCCTGCAAATTCACATTAACAAAACACAGAACTTGTCTGTGAAAATTAAAAAAAAAGACTAAACATGTGTCTGAATTGTTCTAATCTCCTACTCTATATACCTTGTAATCTTGGTTACCAAAAACACATTTACATAAAACACCTTATGTCATGTATGAGCTTATCAAATGCTAGCCTGAAATATTCTGACGTTCTATTGACTTTATCATATTGGTCTTGAATCAATGAACTCATTGGCTCCAGAGACCAATATTAAAAAAACAGTGGACGGAATGTCAGAATAATTCAGACCAACCAAATGCTTGTTTCAGACGATAAGAATGCCAAAATTGTGCTGGAATATGATTAATACATAGGCATATGATTTGTAAATCATTCAAAATAAGACAACCATTAAGAACTTCCGCTTGACACTTCTGCATCAATTAAGATTGTATTGTACTGCTGTACATGTAGATGCTTCAGCATATGATCAGTTCACATGTCATTTATTAACTACCTGATACTTTGGAGCATTGTTTAATGTTGGATAATTTCCTTGGTTATCTCCATTGTGAATAAGATGATTATCTACAAGGTTCCAACCCCAGCTCTGGTCATCACTGCCTAGTAGACTCACGTAGCCCTGACACTGAATTGGGGCATTTTTGGTGGCTAGTCCTATCACAGCTACAGTTCCAAGTGGACCTTCCCACCAAATCTCCCAACAGTGTCGACCCGCTCGGAACCCTATCTTACCCCGAGAACCGTCTGTACTTTGTGCTACTGGGTTCCGATGCACTGTAAACCCATTCTGTTTCACATACATATTCCTCGAACAGTCACTTGGGTTCCATGCATGGTAAAATGCCCGTAATTTCGCTTTGTATGTAGGGACATTTTTCAGAACGTCCGATTTCAATGCTTCTTCTGCGAGTTTTCGCACACAATTAAATCGCCATACATCGTTATTCTCATCATTTAGATATTTATACCAATTCTTACACACTAGAGCACAATTCCGTAGATCAGATATGTCTATATAAGAAAACAATGCTTCCAATACTTGCGGTGGAAGTTTAGCAGCAGCCATATTATTACGGTGTGACAGTGTCAATTCGCGCGAGATCTGAGTGATTCAACGAGATTCAATATGTCAGCGTCCACGGTCGGAAAATGACTGTAAAAATGCATCTAAGGTTATCTGGCAAGAGTAGTGTGTAAGTCGGCATTGCGAGTATACGAAATAAATGTTTGTTATATTGTAACTTTACCGCCATTGTGTTCGCTAAATCTGCATATGGTATGTCATATCCTCTTTTGTGTTTTTACGTTTGTTTACATACATGTTCACGCACCTGCAGTCTGGAAGGTAAACAACACTAGCAAAACTCCTATCGACATATGCAAAGTGGATTGGATTTTTGCTTCAGTTGTTTACGTTCCAGGTACAGGTGCCTGTGCTTGACATGTCTAATTGTATCTTCAGCAATTGGTGGCAGAGGGTTTTGTAGGTTTACTTGGGGGTCAAATGAGTTGAATGATCTGGCCCAGGTTGCTAAATGAGAGAAAACATGTGGTAAGTGAAAAAAATGAATTGCAATTACAAAATTGGAAATGTATCAATTAGGCCTGTTTCAACAAATCTACAACTCTGAAATGAAATACAATGTTTCCCCGATAGCTCATATATATGATTATTTTTTCAGTGTTTGTACCCAAAATGCACTGATCTGATTTGTCCATTTTTTTCATGTCTCTATGAAAAAAACTATCTAGCTCCACCCATTAGAAAATGATTGGAGCAATCAATGGCAACACGCCACCTTGCAGCATTTCTGTTGGAACATCTTTTTTTGTATACATGGAATATCTGTTTTCATTTATCAGGTGTGTGGATCACTGTCATTCAGTGATGTTAACATAAATTGGACTATATCATCATGAATTGTCCAAATATTTCACAATGTATATGGTCACAAACAATAAGTAACTAAAACATAATGGATTTATCAGAGGAAATATGTTATTTTATTTTTACAGATATTCGTTTGGAATGTTATTGGTACACTCATGAATTCTGAATAACTGTAAATGGCATCAATTAGCTGTCAAGTACATCAAGCCATGTCACAGAAGTTTTTATGCATAGTGATTTATTATAAAGTAATCCTTCATGAAATTAACAAATTTATACATTTATGTGTGTAATTCTTGTTTTTTGAAACCAACATTTGGCAAATATAATGCAGTATGAATATAATATCTAAATACTTAATTGTATTTAATGTAAAATGTGATGAATAAACATGTGTGTACCATTGGAATGGAGAGGACAACCTATTGTTCTATTGGGGCGGAATCCAATACTCATCAGCCTTGTATCAGTATATATGTATAATTGCTGAAGAAATAAAATGTGCTGTTTTATCTTTTTAGAAAAAAAGGATATTTCCAATTTTGTTTAATTTATTTTTTAATTTTCACTAACCACTGGTCATCTTTACCCAGCCTTTGAACAATCGGTGCCTGAGGTTCAGAGTCGGAGTACCATCTGTTTAAATATTTTTGATGGTTAAAATTTCTTCTACAGTAAACCTGAAGATGACATTTGATGTGATCTCTAGACTCAGAACACTGATAATTGGCACAAATTCCCAACCCACCGACCCTATGTATGTATCATGTAGCGACAAGTCAGTATACTACATGTATTATGGATCATGGTTTGTGAATTCGCGCGAAGTCCCAGTGACTCAGACAGGACATCCAATTCAACCATAAATTGTTTCCATTCTTGATCTGTCTACTTGCAACGTTTCAAAATAATTTTTACATCAATCTTAATTTCTCAGTTACATAATACATATACATATTGTAGGTGCTAGCCTTTGCCATGAGAAGACAAGAAAAGACAAGAATTCTGTAATACCTGAAAAAGAGGAGGCATCCTAGCAGAAAATGGCAGCTTTATGTCAGAAATGTTTAGTGTCATGGCACTTGAAGTCAAAACTTGTCTTCCAAAGCCGTGTTTTGTTTTGCCAAAAGAAAAGTTGGTCAGCAGTAACTACAAAGAGACCACTCTCGACCTTGTCAGCTCCTCTTGCCTCAGCATTCAATTCCAAGCCATCCTACAAGTTCAGTTTCAACTTCAGAGCTGGTTGTGTAAGTTTGCTTGTGTGTAACATTAAGATTGATTTTGCAGTATTTCAAGTAACTGTCAGTCCTTTTAGATGATTCTTTCATCTTGGTGCAGAAATGTAAACTAGTGTTGATATCATGACTTTTTACTTTCTCCCTGTAAATTATACTCATATTTATACCTATTTTTTCAGACCATTTTCAAATTGTATGTTTGTTCTCACAGGGACTGTTTCAGATCATGGAATTACAAGATTTTAGTGGCTTTCATATCCTGAAGGAGAATGCTGAGATTGAAGTTGAATCCCTCGTTGAAGAGATAAAAAGCTTGAACAGGACAAAAAGTGTTGTGACACTGTTTGATGAGCTCTCTGATTGTCTGTGTAGGGTAGCAGATCTGGTCAGTAACACTGGTTGTAATTTCATGATTTACATGTCTACTGTAATAGAGACAGAAGTAATGAAACTTGAGTTCCTTCAATGGAAGAATAGAATTCTTACCATACTGAGTGAATAACAAAAGACAGAATTCCTTGATTGTATCCAAGCAATAAAGAAAATACCTAAAAGAATTTCTCCTTTTTAAAAAAAGAAACAAAAAGCAGAGTTCCTGCATTACATAAGGAAGTACATGAACTCAGTGCTTAAATTATCTCAAATTTATCAAAACTTCTGTTGTTAAGGAGGAACAAAATTAGAAAGTAATTACAAAAGATGTTTAGAATACATCATTTTGTAAAACATTTATAATATGATGTTATATAGAGACATTTTTGGGATGTGTGATTAGAGAAATGCTGTATTTGAATTACTGTTATTATGTGACATAACTTTTCCTGACCGAAACAGCATAATTATTTTAGTCTGTTTTTCAGGCTGATTTCATCCGCGTTTCCCATCCAGAACCCTTGTTTGCACAGGCTGCAGAAGATGCTTGTGTGCATCTCTCAGGAATTGTAGAAAAGTAAGCACTTTGTGTTGTATCAGATTTAGGATCCGTCATGGTCAAAGGTTCTGTTGATCTGTTTTCAGTGCATAACAAAGTAAAATTGTGTTTCAAAGATGTGCTTCTCATTGATAGCTGTACAAATATTGGAGTTTGCTTGCTTGGATCTTACTTTATAAGTATTATTATACATTTCATATAATCTGCTTTTCAAGGTTGAATACAAACCCTGACATATACAATGCTCTAAAGAAGGCTGTGGAGGAAGGGGATGTAGTACCTCTCAATGATCTAGACAAGAGAGTTGGAAAACTCTTCCTGTTTGACCATGAACAATGTGGTATCCATCTGGACAAGGAGAAGGTACAATCCCTGTGCTATTGGTTTTGTTAATGAAGGGTTATGACCAAGCATATCCTGTTGAACACTCTTGGCTAATTACATATAATGAAAATGTTGTGTTAGTGCAAAAGAACTATGCTGATTATGAGAAAACAGTGTTCAGAATACATCGAGTAGTTTAATGCTTATTTACTTCTTTATAAGCCATTTTGATACTAACTAAGCTGTGTACCTCTGATCACTGTAGGATTACCAATTAGACAGGTACTTTCATGGTATGTATACTTACAGGAAACCTAGATATAAATACATTCTTTAAGATAAGTGCCATAATGTTTTTAAACAGAATTTGTTAACATGAGATAATGCAGGAGAATGTTAACAGTATCATAGCCCCCAATTAATAGTGGATATCTATTTTCCTTGACACAGAGGGAGACTTTTGTAAAGCTGAACGAGGATGTCATGATGATTGGAAATTTCTTCATGCAGGGAACACATACAATGAGATCTGTAAAAAAGACTTCACTACCAGAAAGTATAAGACATTAGTAAGTTTGCGGTGATAATTACTGGATTTTATGAGAGGTATACTGACTGGTGCCACATGTACTGGAAAGACATGCCTTCAAGCAGTTTGATAGATTCACCTTTAATTTTACATGTGTGTCAGTACATGGAATAGTTTTTTGTGTGTTTTGATGTCTTTTCTATTCCTGATATTGCCTCTCCTTTTCAATTAATTGTCTCCCCTATTCCTTATGTTGCTTTTCCTTTTGTTTTGTGCTCACACCCTCCTGATGTTGTCTCAACTTTTCAATTGATTGTCTCCCCCTATACCTTACGTTGCTTTTCCTTTTGTTTTTGTGTTCACACCTTCCTGATATTGTCTCTACTTCTTTTTGCTGTCTCCCCTATTCCCCATATTGACTCTTGTATCAGTTTATTTCTTTTCCATTCCTGATGTTGTTTCTCCTATGTTTCTTTATGTCACCTGGGTTACTTATATTTTGCTGTATAGAACTTGAGATCCAGGAATATGGGTCTTGGTGCTTTGGTATACATGCACTTCTGAAGAGATCTGAAATCTTCCTAATCACAAGATCAAACAATTTTTGCAAAATTGAAAAAACATACTTGTGTTTGTCATCATTGGATTTGTTTATTTCTTTTTCAGTTTTAATATTGATGGTGAACATGTGCAAGTTTATAACCTCCATTCAGACCACTATAATGAACGGGTAAGTATTTAACTGTTTAGCAAGAACAAATCAAATTTCTATGATGTTTTACAGGTTGATTTTAATGTTCTCTATGAATAAGCTAAAATCGGAATGTCTGTAACATAACAGAAATGCTCTCCTTGTGATCATTGATAAGGAATACTCCTACATTTTTTGTAGATGAATATAAAAACTAAACAACGTCATCAGTAGTGATGGGAAATCTGTAGAAATCCACAATCATTTATCAGTTGAAACCAAATTCAAATGTAATGGATCAATTACATAATCAGCTGACTATGTGTTCAATATTCATAGAAAATATTCATTGCACAATGCAGTAATATTTTTTTGTATCCTGACCTAGATTACCTCACTTACCTAAAATTTACATAAGAATGAACATTATTGGCAATTGGCATCTTTATGACGCGTAATATGAATTTGGATTTTGCATAAACATCAGAAAATATCAATGTACCGATGATCGATTACAGCAAATCACAATTGATCATCGCATCAGATGATGCTGGACAATTAGATAATGGCTTATACCTGATCATCGTCGCATCACTAGTCATCAGTTCTGATTAGAAAGCAAATATTATATTTTGTAAAATTTTTGTAATGTAGAAACTTTGTGATTTTGTTTGGTGTTAGATGAGGGAGGCAGCCTACAAAATCTACCTTTATCCAGACAAACACCAGGAACATCTATTGATGAGTCTGCTACATGCTCGACACAAACTGGCTCAGGTTGTTGGCTTTGAGACGTACGCTCATAGAACCATTAAAGGCACTATGGCTGAAACTCCAGGTAGAATAATTATGTGCTAGATAACATCTTGACACTGTTACTTGGTGATTTCCTATTGTCCAGACCTCATTTCCAAGTCATTAGTTTTCACTGTTTTCAACTATTCTGTGATTTTTTGTCCTAGTGCATCCAGTGACTGTTACTTACAGAGAAATAAGTCATGTGATAAATTATCCATACTTATTGGTCAGCATATGCATATTAGTGCACATAAGACTGAGTTCAGCAATCAGCATCATCTGTTAATATCTATGCATACTACATTTGATATGTCCAATAAAACATCTATTCTCTATAATCCTTTACATCTTTCTTTGGCTTTAAAGCAATACATCATAGCTCAAGAGAATATATCATTCTACACAGCATTATGACATGTTTACTCCTAACCTCTAAAATATTTACTTACAATATGTTTGGAAAACGGGGGATATAAATTACATGAATTTGCTTGTTACTTCACAGGAAATGCTATCTTTTGTTACTTCACAGGAAATGTCATGTCTTTTGTTACTTCATAGGAAATGCTATCTTTTGTTACTTCACAGGAAATATCATGTCTTTTGTTACTTCATAGGAAATGTCATGTCCTGAAAGTCAAATCTTTTGCTACTTGACAGAAAATGTCTTTTTTGTGCTACTAGCATGTTGTTTGTTACTTCATAGTCTTGTGTTACTTCACAGAAAATTTAGTGTTTTATTTTACTTTTAAGAAGATGTCATGTTTCATGTTACTGTACAGAAATGCCATGTCTTTTGCTACTCCACTGATAATGCCATTTGCTTTAGTACCATGCAGAAAATGTCATGTCTTGGGTCACTGCACCTGTAATGTCATGTTTTATGTTAACTTACTCCTCAGAAAATGTCATGTTACTGCACAGAAAATATATTTTGTTTCTTCAAAAAAAAAAAAAAAAATTTATGTGTTACTTCATTGAAAATGTTAGTCTTGCATTACTTTACTGAGATTGTCATATTTTTTTTTTACTCCACAACCAAGTTTTTTTTCTGATTCCACAGAAAATGTGATGGATTTTCTAGAAACCTTGGCTGACAGTATAAGATCCAGGTGAGTGATTATACGGTGAGGTGTTTTAGAGAACAGTCACACATAGACTGTTTATTATCTCCCCTAGTCCTTCAACACCAACAGTTTACTTTCTTCATATTTTTGTTGTTTTTCATTTGTTGTTTTTCACCCACTTTAATTGTTGAGAATTACTTGGACCATCTTATGTCATCTGTAGAAAATATTTTTTCACATTCCTTGGATAAAAGATAAAGCTGTACTGGACAAATTCTTTTCTATACTAATGAGACCATGCAGTATTGACTTTTTTGAATTTGCTTTTTAAACTATATAATTCTTGAACACTCATCAGCATTTACCAGTAGAATTTCTCTATGAAATGTGTCTGATTGTCCTGATCATTTTCTTTCAGAGCCAATGCAGATTTTGCTGACATGCTTCACTTAAAACAAGCTGAAGGAGGAATAGAAAATGTGAGTACAGAGTTTATCATGTAAATACCTAATTTCTTAACTGCCTACAAAATTTTGTTTTTTATGGCATCGTTTCTGAATTAATGGCAAAAACGATGTGAAATGTTTGGTATTTGAAATATACTTATAATTTACATATACATTGTCGGTGAACTTGCTATGTATCATTTTTGCTCATTTTCTCTTTAAAGAAAATCTTGGCATGGGACCCACCGTATTACAGTGCTAAAGGGAGACAACTTGTGTAAGTGCAGGATAAAAAATATGTTTTTCCGGTATCTGAATTATAATTGATGTACATAATATTGTATCAAAAATTGTATAAAGAAATGTATCAGATATTAAGATATTTTTAAAAAGGATGCAGTTTTTTTTTTAAAATTGGAGACCTGTACAGACTCAAGTAATGTCTTGAAATGATACCTGTGTCATCATCTGGTACCAATTTTTAGATCTAACCTGAAGAGCTATGAAATGATGCCATATTTCTCTCTGGGGGGTTGCATGGAGGGTCTGAACAATCTGTACAACTGCTTATTCAATGTCACCCTGAAGAATGTGGAGCTTGAGAATGGCGAAAGCTGGGCAAAAGACATTCACAAACTGGTAAGTTCGGTTGATTACTAGTCTTCTCAATTGGTTACCGACAAGAACGTAAATTACTAATACAAGTTCTGAAGAGACAAATCTGCATTGATACTGCATCAAATTTAGGAATAAGACCTCAACAGTACACATATTGCTTCAGAGAGAAAAAGAAACATAAGGATATACATAAAACTATTTTGTATATTTCTCTTTCAAAACACACTATTGACTATATTGAACATATGATATGGTTTCAACTTTAAGTTTTCATAATTGTTTAAAATGTATAAAACATTAGATTTTTATGTTTTGTACATTTGAAATATTCATGTACAGAATTTAGCTTTTATTAAAGTGTGATTGCGTAGGCTATATTTCCTTAGATATAGTACATATCCAATTGATAATCAGCATTGACAGTGTGTACTGTGATTTCTGTGACAGGCAGTGGTGCATGAGACAGAGGGTGTGTTGGGCTATATCTACTGTGACTTCTACGATAGAGCTGACAAACCTCCACAGGTAAGTTAGTTTAGACACACAATGTTAGTGTGCTGACCTATATCAACTGTGATTTCTACGATAGAGCTGACAAACCTCCACGGGTAAGTTAGTTCAGACACACAATGTTAGTGTGTTGGGCTGTATCTACTGTTACTTCTACGATAGAGCTGACAAACCTCCACGGGTAAGTTAGTTCAGATACACAATGTTAGTGTGCTGGGCTATACCTACTGTGACTTCTACAATAGAGATGACAGACCTCCACAGGTAAGTTAGTTCAGACACACAATGTTAGTGTGTTGGGCTGTATCTACTGTTACTTCTACAATAGAGATGACAGACCTCCACAGGTAAGTCAGTTCAGATACACAATGTTAGTGTGTTGGGCTGTATCTACTGTGATTTCTACGATAGAGCTGACAAACCTCCACAGTTAAGTTAGTTCAGACACACAATGTTAGTGTGTTGGGCTATATCAACAGTGATTTCTACAATAGAGATGACAGACCTCCACAGTTAAGTTAGTTCAGACACACAATGTTAGTATGCTAGGCTATATCTACTGATTTCTATGATAGAGCTGGTAAACCTCTACAGGTAAGTTAGCATATAGCTAAAATATGTCTTCTTTAGATATCTGCTACTTAACAACATAACATATTGATGGTAAAATGTCTGTAAGTAACAACTTGGTTAGACATTCTGATAATAGAAAATGCTTTATTTTCCCTCAGGACAGTCATTATACTATCCAGGGAGGTAGACAAAAGGAGGATGGGACATACCAGCTTCCCATTGTAGTATTACAACTCAACTTCTCCTCAAATCGTGGTAATGTCCCCTCACTACTTACACACAGCATGATGGAAAACTTGTTCCATGAGTTTGGACATGCCATGCATTCCATGTTGGGACGTACAAAATACCAACATGTTACAGGTAAGTTGTAAAGAATTCATAACATCAAAAATGAAACAGTGCTGTAAGTCCCCTACAGCCCTACAGGTGAAACTAGGGGATGGGTGCTATCCGTCTGACCATCCATGTATTTATCTGTCCTTCCTTCTGTCTGTGTTTGTATGCAACACCCAAGTTTGTCAGCACTCTAGCGACCTTATTCCTGGAGAGATTCTCATCAAATTTCACTTACTTATAAATGCTCAAAATATCTTGAACAGGATTGACTTTTGAGTTTGTTGGATGTAGGTCAAGGTCACTCTCTTTTCAAATTATTATTGTCTAATTGCTTGCTCGGGGCAGTAGAGGACATGTACTGTTTAAGCAATATTAAGTGTATTTGTTTATTTAAATGATACATATTATGTCTATGCAAAAGAAATATTTCTCTGTATAAAAAACAATGTAGACTTTTGTTTGTGGCAATTTTCAATATCAGTGGTTGTAACAATAGTGTTGACTGATCAATCTCTTCCATAGTATAAACCTGAGTTTACCTTCTCCAAACCACCTATGGACCTAAGACTGCTGAGTTCTACAATAAAGTGTCATTTTCTCTGTTCCAGGGACCAGATGTCCAACAGATTTTGCTGAAGTACCATCAATACTTATGGAGTATTTTGTCTCAGATCCAAGGGTAGGTACTCATTGGTTTTAGCTAGTGTCATATAGGGGAAATAAGGAATGTTTTTTATCATTTGATAAAACAGGATTTTCCTTCTGTACATGAACTGATTTAAACATTAAATTGATCCATCATGTTATTTGATTTGTAGGTGCTCTCAACATTTGCATTCCACTACAAGACTGGTGAGCCCCTTCCTATGGAGCAAATACAGAAACTTTGTGAGGCCAAGAAGTTATACTCAGCATCAGTAAGTACTCCTTTGGTGCAAATATAGAAACTTTGTGAGGCCAAGAAGTTATACTCTGCATCAGTAAGTACTCCTTTGGTGCAAATACAGAAACTTTGTGAGGCCAAGAAGTTATACTCTGCATCAGTAAGTACTCCTTTGGTGCAAATACAGAAAATTTGTGAGGCCAAGAAGTTATACTCAGCATCAGTAAGTACTCTGTTGGTGCATATACAGAAAATTTGTGAGGCCAAGAAGTTATACACAGCAGCAGTAAGTACTCCTTTGGTGCAAATACAGATTCCAAGTGAGGCAGTGAAGTTTTACTCCTATATTTCTTCAATTTGTCCCTCGTGACATGGGGCGTGTGGGGCCCCAAGTGCGAAAGTTAGTCAATATTTTGCTTCGAAATGCTATTCTTTCTTAATGCTTTAATGGATTTCAACCAAATTTAGTCTAAAATGTCATGGAGAGTGGGGAATCATTTCTTAAATTCAGAATGTTAATTCAACCCCTAGTTAATAGGAATGACCTTGATCTGCTTGAAAGGTCACATGGATCAAATATGTTAAAATTTTTAAATGACTTCTTCTCAATAATTGAAATGACCAGGGTGCTCATATTGGACCAACTGTCAAGGTCACAGGGGTCAAATGTGTTGAAATGCTTAAGCAACTTCCCCTCAATAACTGAAAGGCCCAGGGTGATATTAGGCCTTTAGCATGCTAGAATGTAGAGACCAATTTTGTTAATATGAATGACATTGACCCACTTTCAAGGTCACAGGGGTCAAATGTGTAGAAATTCTTAAATATGTTCTTCTCAATAACCGAAATGCCAAAGGTCTTGATAATGGGCCTGTAGCTTTCTTTTTCAACAAGCAATATGTACGGAGTAATGGCATTTGTGTAGTGCATGTATAAAGAATATGGTTTCAAGTTTGCTGAAAATGTCTTGATGAATCTGCAATGTCTTCTATGTGAGTTGTAGAGTAGTTCAGCGATCTATTTTAGGCCTATTTTGTCGCTTTAATATATAGGTTTTTATAGAGAGATGACCGTTAAGGCCCAAGGACCCCTTGTTTTTCTGTATTAACAGGACATCATTATTAAGGAATAGGTTTATATAAATATAAAGGCAGGTTTGTTTCATTGACAAGCAGATCCTTCGGCACTTAAAATACAACATTTCTAATTGGGAGGGATCTACAAATATTAATACAGTCATTGAAAGGCTTAGTGAAGTTAAGCTTGTCAGAAAGTAAAATAAAGTAGGTCTGCTCTTTTTTACAAACAAACCTGGTCCAACTGGTCAAAGCAATCAAAGGAGAATGGTCTAGGTGTTTTATGTACCCGTATTTTGTATTACCAGGACATGCAGCTCCAGGTGTTCTACTCCATCACAGACCAGGTGTTCCACAGTCGATATCCATTTAAGGACAACAAGAGTACAACACAAGTGATGGCTGAGTTACAGGACAAGTATTACAGCATTCCTTATGTCAATAACACAGTAAGTCCATTCGTTTTCTGTAGTGGGTGACACTTGAAACTTTACAATATTTCACATTTGACTGAAGATAAATGATATAAATTAGAGATATTAAGTGGTTTCCTGTTTTCGTAATAGTGGTCATAAGATCTGTTAAATAAATGAATGAAGTTCTCTGTTAAATGCCATATGTCTGAAAAAATACTGATTTTTACAAAGATGTGGAGGGTGAGCTAGAGAATGTTCATATAATTTGTCATTTTGATTTTCTACTTAGTATATTTTAAAGTTTGAAAATAAAGAATTTCTTTTTTTTCAGTGTTGAAAAAATTGCAAAATTATTCTGCTGCAAAAAAGTATTGAAAAAGATGACATAAACTTATTTATTGACTATTCTGTCTCTGATGCCAGCTACTTTCAGTATTTTATTGTTATTTGTAATATGCTGGTTTTTGTTTTGCCAAAAATGGAATTCAAGTTTGAGTTGAGTTAAAAATAATGTAATATCAAATTGATAATTTCTGATACTTCACTGGCAAAAATGTAAGTTTGAACAAGTTTCTTACACCGAGTTTGCATTTTAGCTATTGCAGACATTCTATATCATGACCTTTTGATAGCATCAGCTGAAGCAGGCTATGTTAAGTATCATGTTTTATTCAGCATTGTGTCACATTTCTTGTCCTGAAAAAAGGAAAATACTTGTTCACTGATATTGCATCTAAAATCATACAATGACCTCAACACAAATTGTTTATTTACAATATATTCTGCATATATTATCTAGGCATGGCAGTTAAGGTTTGGTCACCTTGTTGGATATGGCGCCAAGTATTACTCATATCTCATGTCAAGGGGTGTAGCTGCCAGAATCTGGAATACCTGCTTTAAAGATGACCCTTTCAACAGGTAACATGATAAATGGTGAGGCATAGAATAGCCAGTCACACCATCAGGTGAGATATAGAATAGTCAGTCACACCATCAGGTGAGATGTAGGATAGCCAGTCACAACATCAGGTGAGATATAGAATAACAAGCAACACCATCCGATGACATATAGAATAACCAGTCACACCATCAGGTGAAATGTAGAATAACCAGTCACACCATCAGGTGAGATGTAAAATAGCCAGTCACACCATCAGGTACAATGTAAAATAGCCAGTCAGCCCATCAGGTGAGATATAGAATAACCAGCAACACCATCAGGTGAGATGTAGAATAGCCAGTCACACCATCAGGTGGGATGTAGAATAGTCAGTCACACCATCAGTTGAGATGTAGAATAGCCAGTCACACCATCAGGTGAGATATAGAATAGCCAGCCAAACCATCAGGTGAGATGTAAAATAGCCAGTCACACCATCAGCTACAATGTAGAATAGCCAGTCACACCATCAGGTGAGATGTAGAATAACCAGTCACACCATCAGGTGAGATGTAGAATAACCAGTCACAACATCAGGTGAGATATAGAATAGCCAGTCACACCATCAGGTACAACATAGAATAGCCAGTCACACCATCAGGTGAGATGTAGAATAGCCAGTCACACCATCAGGTGAGATGTAGAATAGCCAGTCACACCATCAGGTGAGATGTAGAATAGCCAGTCACACCATCAGGTGAGATGAATAATAGTCAGTCACACCATCAGTTGAGATGTAGAATAGCCAGTCACACCATCAGGTGAGATGTAGAATAGTCAGTCACACCATCAGTTGAGATGTAGAATAGCCAGTCACACCATCAGGTACAATGTAGAATAGCCAGTCACACCATCAGGTGAGATGTAGAATAGCCAGTCACACCATCAGGTGAGATGTAGAATAGCCAGTCACACCATCAGGTGAGATGTAGAATAACCAGTCACACCATCAGGTGAGATATAGAATAGCCAGTCACACCATCAGGTGAGATGTAGAATAGCCAGTCACACCATCAGGTGAGATGTAGAATAGCCAGTCACACCATCAGGTGATGATGTAGAATAGCCAGTCACACCATCAGGTAGATAGAATAGCCAGTCACACCATCAGGTAGATGTAGTAGCCAGTCACACCATCAGGTGAGATGTAGAATAGCCAGTCACACCATCAGGTGAGATGTAGAATCACACCAGCCAGTCACACCATCAGGTGAGATATAGAATAGCCAGTCACACCATCAGGTGAGATGTAGAATAACCAGTCACACCATCAGGTGAGATGTAGAATGCCAGTCACACCATCAGGTGTAGAATAGCCAGTCACACCATCAGGTGAGATGTAGAATAGCCAGTCACACCATCAGGTGAGATGTAGAATAGCCAGTCACACCATCAGGTGAGATGTAGAATAGCCAGTCACACCATCAGGTGAGATGTAGAATAGCCAGTCACACCATCAGGTGAGATGTAGAATAGCCAGCCAGTCACACCATCAGGTGAGATGTAGAATAGCCAGTCACACCATCAGGTGAGATGTAGAATAGCCAGTCACACCATCAGGTGAGATGTAGAATAGCCAGTCACACCATCAGGTGAGATGTAGAATAGCCAGTCACACCATCAGGTGAGATGAATAATAGTCAGTCACACCATCAGGTGGAGATGTAAAATAACCAGTCACACCATCAGGTGAGATGTAAAAGTAGCCAGTCACACCATCAGGTGAGATGTAGAATAGCCAGTCACACCATCAGGAACTCTGTAGAATAGCCAGTCACACCATCAGGTGAGATGTAGAATAGCCAGTCACACCATCAGGTGAGATGTAGAATAGCCAGTCACACCATCAGGTGAGATGTAGAATAGCCAGTCACACCATCAGGTGAGATGTAGAATAGCCAGTCACACCATCAGGTGAGATGTAGAATAGCCAGTCACACCATCAGGTTCTATGTAGAATAGCCAGTCACACCATCAGGTGAGATGTAGAATAGCCAGTCACACCATCAGGTGAGATGTAGAATAGCCAGTCACACCATCAGGTGAGATGTAGAAAAGACAGTCACACCATCAGGTGAGATGTAGAATAGTCAGTCACACCATCAGGTACAACATAGAATAGCCAGTCACACCATCAGGTGAGATGTAGAATAGCCAGTCACACCATCAGGTGGGATGTAGAATAGTCAGTCACACCATCAGTTGAGATGTAGAATAGCCAGTCACACCATCAGGTGGGATGTAGAATAGTCATTCACACCATCAGTGGAGATGTAAAATAACCGGTCACAACATCAGGTGAGATATAGAATAGCCAGTCACACCATCAGGTGAGATGTAGAATAGCCAGTCACACCATCAGGTGAGATGTAGAATAGCCAGTCACACCATCAGGTGAGATGTATAATAGCCAGTCACACCATCAGGTGAGATATAGAATAGCCAGCCAAACCATCAGTTGAGATGTAAAATAGCCAGTCACACCATCAGGTACAATGTAGAATAGCCAGTCACACCATCAGGTGAGATGTAGAATAGCCAGTCACACCATCAGGTGAGATGTAGAATAGCCAGTCACACCATCAGGTGAGATGTAGAATAGCCAGTCACACCATCAGGTGAGATGTAGAATAGCCAGTCACACCATCAGGTGAGATGTAGAATAGCCAGTCACACCATCAGGTGAGATGTAGAATAGCCAGTCACACCATCAGGTGAGATGTAGAATAGCCAGTCACACCATCAGGTGAGATGTAGAATAGCCAGTCACACCATCAGGTGGGATGTAGAATAGTCAGTCACACCATCAGTTGAGATGTAGAATAGCCAGTCACACCATCAGGTACAACATAGAATAGCCAGTCACACCATCAGGTGAGATGTAGAATAGCCAGTCACACCATCAGGTGGGATGTAGAATAGCCAGTCACACCATCAGGTACAATGTAGAATAGCCAGTCACACCATCAGGTGAGATGTAGAATAGCCAGTCACACCATCAGGTGAGATGTAGAATAGTCAGTCACACCATCAGGTACAATGTAGAATAGCCAGTCACACCATCAGGTGAGATGTAGAATAGTCAGTCACACCATCAGTTGAGATGTAGAATAGCCAGTCACACCATCAGGTGAGATGTAGAATAGCCAGTCACACCATCAGGTGAGATGTAGAATAGCCAGTCACACCATCAGGTGAGATGTAGAATAGCCAGTCACACCATCAGGTGAGATGTAGAATAGCCAGTCACACCATCAGGTGAGATGTAGAATAGCCAGTCACACCATCAGGTGAGATATAGAATAGCCAGTCACACCATCAGGTGAGATATAGAATAGCCAGTCACACCATCAGGTGAGATGTAGAATAGCCAGTCACACCATCAGGTGAGATGTAGAATAGCCAGTCACACCATCAGGTGAGATGTAGAATAGCCAGTCACACCATCAGGTGAGATGTAGAATAGCCAGTCACACCATCAGGTGAGATGTAGAATAGCCAGTCACACCATCAGGTGAGATGTAGAATAGCCAGTCACACCATCAGGTACAATGTAGAATAGTCAGTCACAACATCAGGTGAGATATAGAATAGCCAGTCACACCATCAGGTGAGATATAGAATAGCCAGTCACACCATCAGGTGAGATGTAGAATAGCCAGTCACACCATCAGGTACAATGTAGAATAGCCATTCACACCATCAGGTGAGATGTAGAATAGCCAGTCACACCATCAGGTGAGATATAGAATAGTCAGCCACACCATCAGGTGAGATACAGAATAGCTAGTCACACTATCAGGTGAGATGTACAATAGCTTGCCACACCATCAGGTGAGATTTAGAATAGCCAGTCACACCATCAGGTGAGATGTACAATAGCCAGCCACACCATCAGGTGAGATGTAGAATAGCCAGTCACACCATCAGTTGAGATGTAATATTACTAAGATAAAGTATATACTTTATGTAAAATGTGCATAAAGTTAGCCGCAGAAATAGTTTTATTTATTCAATGTAGTTAGTTACATTCTTTCACTCTTATCTATAATATAATTGTCTTATTGTGTCTTTAATATTATTTTTTCTTGACATTACAGGCAAATGGGTGAACGATACAGGGAAAAAATGCTGCGACATGGAGGGGAGATAGCACCTGGAAAATTAGTTCAGTGTATGTAATGTTATCTCACTGAGGGTTGATAGTCCCAGTGCAGTAGGTTCAGTTTGTGTATTCATATCTCACTGAGGGTTGATAGTCCCAGTGCAGTAGGTTCAGTGTATGTAATGTTATCTTACTGAGGGTTGATAGTCCCAGTGCAGTAGGTTCAGTGTATGTAATGTTATCTTACTGAGGGTTGATAGTCCCAGTGCAGTAGGTTCAGTGTATGTAATGTTATCTGACTGAGGGTTGATAGTCCTAGTGCAGTAGGTTCAGTGTATGTAATGTTATCTTACTGAGGGTTGATAGTCCTAGTGCAGTAGGTTCAGTGTATGTAATGTTATCTGACTGAGGGTTGATAGTCCTAGTGCAGTAGGTTCAGTGTATGTAATGTTATCTTACTGAGGGTTGATAGTCCTAGTGCAGTAGGTTTAGTTTGTGTAATGTTATCTTACTGAGGGTTGATAGTCCTAGTGCAGTAGGTTCAGTGTATGTAATGTTATCTGACTGAGGGTTGATAGTCCTAGTGCAGTAGGTTCAGTGTATGTAATGTTATCTGACTGAGGGTTGATAGTCCTAGTGCAGTAGGTTTAGTTTGTGTAATGTTATCTTACTGAGGGTTGATAGTCCTAGTGCAGTAGGTTCAGTGTATGTAATGTTATCTGACTGAGGGTTGATAGTCCTAGTGCAGTAGGTTCAGTCTATGTAATGTTATCTTACTGAGGGTTGATAGTCCTAGTGCAGTAGGTTTAGTTTGTGTAATCACATCTCACTGAGGGTTGATAGTCCCAGTGCAGTCTGCAAAATTTGACAAAACACAGGGATGAAATGATATATTTGCAATCAACTTGAGCATTAGGTTGTTAAGTAGCTGTGAACCACCAGTCACCCAGTAAATTGATTCCACTATCTTGTAACATTTTTTATTCTAAACAAATAGAATAAATCAAATAAAATTCATATTTAAAACATCAACCGATTTCATAATTTCTGCAAAAAGAGTATTGGCAAAAGCTAAAATCTGAATCATTCAAAAAATGACTTTTGTATTACTCTAGACAAGAGTTGTTTGAAAACAATGAAGTCTCTTTGCCATTTCAGCCATGCTACAGGAACCAGAGGAGCTGACTATGAACCAGTTAGTCCAGTCACTTATTCAGGACCTGGACCGTTGTTGATGAGGATATCTCTTCATATCTACTGGGAACATGTGACATGTGTAATGTTTACATTTATAAACAAAAACAAATAACAGCCGAGTAGTCAGAGACTTGGGTTTTATCAGTCTGCTACAAATGTTTGTGAACAACACCTGGGCAGTCTATATATAGATCATCTGACCTCATACACTTTGGAATTTTATTACGAACTGATGGAACCTGTGATAGAACACAAGGATGCCAAATCTATTTTTTATTTTTGTTATGGAGTGAAGAGATTTCTGCGACTAACAGCTGTTTTTACTTAATACATTATAAATTAGTCATCACCTGTGATTTGATTATCATTGTAGTGTTAAAATGACGATATTGATTTGAAGCTTGTTGATTATTTTATACTAAATAAATTGTACTGGGAACAATTTGCTTTTCCCAGCAGTTTCTGAATAAATTATTACCCTTTTACAGATTATGGTTATTAAAGCATTTGCAATTTATTCATTTTGTAGAATTTTTTTACAATGAAATTGATATTGTTGTCATAACTAGGAAAATCATTTATTTGTATTTGTGCAGACATGTTTGTCATATGAGTAGATTTTGGGATTACATATACCCCGGGTATAATGTCAAGGTGTGAATTATCTTAATCAGGACGTACATAACACGTTTATAATGTATTGTTGTCAGCACAATATATCTTTCAAAAACTCATCATTTGTACTATATTTATTCTAAATTAAGCCTCATGTTTTAGCGTAAAAGTTCAGTGTTATAGAGAGGGAAGAGCTTGTTGGTGAACTACTTTTAATTTACTATTGTTTTACCTTAACGATTCAGCAAAAATGAAGAAAAGGGCTTACTTGTGAGGGGGCTTACATGTGGATAAATACAGTATTAGGTTAAAGGACAACTGCTTACTGATGATCCAATTCTGGGCTAAATGAACAAGAAACACAAAATATTCAGTATTAAAATCTTGCCTTATGAACTAGACCAGGTACAATAAACACACTTATATTATTGTAATCAGTGTTTAGTAAATGTATGCCTTACAACATATCCTTAGGAAGCTCGCAGACTTTTTCTGGAATATTTTCTGTAGATTTGAAATGGAGTAAACATATATACACTTTCCCACTATGATTATACTACTGAAAATCCATTGCAAAAAACATACAATTTTATCCATTTACTTTCAAGATTGATTAAACAAAAGATTTATTTTTTTACTTACAAAGTTTAATTTTACCTTTTAGATGACCTTGACATCAGTCATAATGGCCTTAAACTGGTACGAGACACACTGATGTGTAGGCATTTGGTCTTCTTTTGATCTTGACCATCAGGACCCCAAATTTTTACAAAACACAATTCATTGCCATCCTAGAGTTATTCATGAAGTTTTATTAAACAGCTTTAAAGGGAGAAAATGAATTTGATATTAACCTCAACATGACTTTGATTTCAAGGTGATACACTTGATATATATGTGCAATAATAAAAAGAATCAATGAAAAAAATCATTTTACCATGATGTCACTTTAAATTACACCGACCTTTCTTCAGTGAGGACAAATTCATAGCAGAGATAGTGAATTTGAACCTGATGACAAAAATGTTGACTTTGGTGACAAAAATGTGTGATAGCATCTCGCCATCCTACACATGATTTTTACATGAACATTATATACTAAATGACCAAAAAGAATGCAAATTATATTGTTCCCTAAGCGGTCAAACTGTCACATGATGTTATTGTTAACTAGACGACTATAGAAACAAACTTCCACAAGGCATCAACAAAAATAATTATATCAGAATTCTGGTGACTTTTAAGACCGACTGGCCTCTTCGATTTATTTCTGGTATTAATAGTCATCACATTGTCGCCTTACATTTGTACACAAACAAAACATATATGTTGACATGAAAACATTGATCCACGTTAGTCTGAAAACAGAATCTTCTGGGTTGAATATTGTTCATAAGAGGTGTTTTTCACTTGTACTACATGCTCCTTAGATATATAAAAACATTTACTTCACTACTAACATGAAATTCTTATTCCTGAATCAAACACAAAAAATAAGAACACAATCCACACCCAAAATGGGTAAAAACTGTTGTTTCCCATGTGACATCTGGCTTGTACAGCCAGGGTTAGGAGGAAAAACCGTATCATATCCTGCAACTGAACTTTTGAATCACATTTAAATCACTAATGTGGCACATGTCAAGTAAAATTGCATTCTGTAGTAAACCCAGGGCCAGCCATGATTGCATTGGTTTTACAGACAAATGAAGAAAAAAAATAGAGCCCAATGTACAGATTTCCATTAGATTTGTGAATTGTGTTCAATTATAGAACTAAGAGTCTGGTAGTTTTAATCTGCTGAAAGAGAGAGGTCTGTTTTATGAAACGTCAGATACATACTTTTTTTTAAATTTTTTTCATTTGCCTGTATGTGACTGTTACAGAATTACACATATTTCTGTCTGCAAGTGGAAGTAGCAGAGTATAATGGTAAAATACATCATACTTAATTCAAAGTAGAGCTTAGAGAAAAAAGTTGAGCTTATTACAGAAAAAAGTAGAGCTTGTTAAAGAAAACTGAAATGTTAATAATATTATGAAGCTTCAAACATGAGATTTTTTGTGTATGTGTACATAACACCATGCATGGCTTATTGCTGGAAAATATGGCAACTATTCAGTTGTCTCATGAAGAATTGATCACAATGAGATACTTTCCCATAGTTCTTCCTCACATTTAAGTCCATTTAAGTCCAAAAGTCTTTCCTCACATTAAAGAAGATAAGTTTGCATTGCAATCATATAATGAGTCCTAGTTCAGAAAAATGAGTTTTGATCTAAAAAAAAATTAAAGTAAATTTAAGTGACATTTCATTTTGGGTTCTTTTGCCTTTGAGGATTTTAAACATGATGACGACATGTGAAGTCAGTAATTTTGAGTATTTTTTGCTAATACAAAGGAGCAAGTGATTTCATCGTTTTGAGAAGTGTCTTTCTGTGATAAGTGGGTATACTGTACATGTATATTTTCTTTTGCCTGTTAAGTACAAACTGTTAATACAAAATAATGGCAGTACTTTCAATCCAAACAAATCAATTTAAGAGTTTACTAGATGTAAATGAGCATAAAACAGACTAGTCAATATAAACAGTATTTATAAAACAGAGTTACCATGTATGTACATGTTAAGCAACACATCAAGATACAGTTAATGACTGGTTATTCTTGCAAAATCTGTTCATCAATTTACAATACCCTAAGTCAAAATTAAAAACATACAGATTATTCTAAAGATTCTCATATTTCAGAATTGTTTTCTGGAAAAATATTGAAAACAAATTCTACTAGCTTGTTAATTCCATAGAAAATTTTTCCTTTAAAGATAATACACTGAAAGGACGGCAAACATAAAATTTTGGCTTTAATCGTCACAATATCATGAAGTTAAATGCTACAAAATTTGATATGTTAAAACAATAACTATACTAAATTGTAGTCATGTTAAATCTGAAAAAAAAAAAAATTTTCAGAAATTTTTAACTTTATGCAGAAAATAAAATCCTTCAGAATATCTGCTAAACTGTCACCACTGTAACAGGTCCCCATGTATTCAGCTTCAGATCCAACACACTTACATTTATACATTAACATTAGGGAAGTAAAATGTCAGAAACAAGCAGTATGTCAGACTCAATCTCAGTAACATTTCAATCTATCATACAAACAGATCCTACAGAGACCTAGAGTCTCAAAAGGCCAGTCCTATCAAGAAGCCACCAGCAAATCCAGTACCCAGGAAAATATTCTGTCGGAAGAAATTCTGAATCTGAAACAAAAGTAAACATTTTATAAGAATGAAAACATGGATTGTATGTGTATAACAAAGGTATATGTATATCTAAGTTTAAAATCATCCATTCATCATCTGATTGGATTTATGTGATTGATTAAGCTTCCAATTGGAAAATATCTGTTTAGCTTTAATACACAAGGATGCAGACACCCTGTATTTATAAAATGAGTGTACGATGATTGGTGACCTGTGCTTTCGTTATAATTAACCTGCTAACACTTGGCTATAATGCCTTACTTGTATAACATTACAAAGCCTGTAACTTGTTTGACCTCCTTTCTGATAATCCATTTTTTCTTATGAACTGACAATATTTAAAAGGGTGCATATTTAAGAAAAGTTTTTAGTGCCGATATCATTTTTTCCATCACCCAAAATGAAGGTTATTGTGACCTTAACAATCCACAATATGACATGAATTTCCTTTATGAAATAAACTTTTGAAGCAATTTTGAATTCTGACAAACTTTACATTTACCTCTGATGTTTTTTTACTATTCAAAAATCTTATAATTGTACTTGTATTATACAGAAAGGATATTCTCCAGAAATGTTTTTCTTCTATCAAGGTCAAATGTAAAATATTTTTTGAAAGAGGTATGAATTTAGGTCACAGTGACCTAATTTGTATGACAACCTTGCTTAATTAGATGGCTATGCTCAAATAGTATCCAGAATATTACCTCAGCCTTCAAGTAATTACAAAAGAAGATAATTTTGCTGTGAAACAATCAGAAATGTCATACAAACACCAGAATTAACAAAAAATTCATGAGGGTTAGAGAAGGTAATAAAATATGTTACAAATCACTGCAGAAAGGTTTGTTAACAAAAACAAAATTATTTACATGCTGTAATTTTGACATGTTGCGATTGGCCTCTCTTCTAATTTCCATTCTGGCCCGATTTGCTTCTCGTTCCACCTTTGACCAATTAATTTGAAGGTAGCCTTGATGCTGTGCAATCTGAACAGAAAAATACATTCACAACAATAAAACAAAGAAACTGATAGTTACGTTTTGGGAGTAGTGAGGGTATTTCTTAGATATTTCCTTGGACATTTGGTTTTTGGCAAGATTCATTTCCTTCTGGACTTTCTTCCAATTTATCTGTATATAACCTTTATATTGTGCAATCTGTGTGAATAAAAAAGACAGAAAAAACATTGTCATAACATCACTTAATTATTCTCTAATAGCAGTTCGAATATGGATATGATGATACACAGGACAATTTCTATAAACTTAATGAAGGTAGCAATACATGTATCTATAGAATGGTTTATACTGGGAGGCTATGGCAGTACATGTGCAAGTACTTTTTCCTATTTCATTTAACAGCTATGATCAGTACCTGTATGAGTATTTCTAGCCAAGTTTACACAGAATGTGGCAGTACCTACAGGCTATGACAGTACCTGTACAAGTATATTTGCCATGTTCAAGGAGACTGATGCAGTATCTGTACCAACAATGTCAGAATATATTGAGAATACATAGTCAGTGTCTTAAAATAAAAGCTGTATTTGGTGAGAGTGAAAAAAGGCAAAAGTGGCGAGCAACTTTTGTCTTTCTGTCTCAAGACAAAATACGTCTTATATTCTAAGACACTGTCCATGTATTCTATTTTTCCAGCATCACTGATTGAAAATCAAACCATCAAAACTTCAACAGTTTTTTGTTTAATCTTTGTTTACCTGACATTGATGTTGCGCTGAATTTTGCCTGATGATGTACGCCACAATAATTGCTCTGTGCCGAAATATAGTTAACTTCAACTTCAACTGATGTGACAGTGACTTCATTAATTTTCGTAAATAAACTTGTTCTTTACAACATTTAAAATCGCTTATTTCAATATTTATTTATATTGTTAAACATAATTTTTAAGTAGATTCAGAAATTAATTCTACTGTTTTCTGTCACTGCCTAATACAGCAAAAATATATATGACAAGTGTATTCTGACAATAGCAGTGCCAGTTGCAGGACAAACTAGTTTATGCATTTTGTGATACATGTACAAGTACTACTGGCCGAGTTTAAATAGAATTGGGGCAATACTTATACATACTAGTAACATTATTCTTAGCCTAGTTTACAAGCTAAGTTGATACAGAATTTCAGCAGTACTTATCGATATTATGAATTGCACCACTAATTTTAGTCTGGTTCAAACTGATACTTTTTCATTACCTGTACAAGTATTATCGTTGTTCCAAGAGTGGCAGCAGCTATTTTTCCAACTTTCACAAACAGATATCCAGATATCCTATGAATCAAAATTCAATACAAGATAAATAACAGGGTATACAAGCATATAAAAAACAGATCAAATCAAAAGGTCACTGAAATGATAAAACCTCTGGAACTGCATAATTGTTTCCACCAACGTTGGGTTAAAACTGTTTCTAAGGCCTAGAAATATCTTTCTGCTAACACCACTGATCTTACAATTTTAGCCTGCCTTAACTGACAGATCCTATATTTTTTAGCCCAACTTAAATGACAGATCATATAATTTTTAGCCTACCATAAATGATCGATCCTATACTTTTTCATCTAGCTTTAAGTTCTTTTGTTCTTTTGACAATTTACAAGAAAGAACAAGGACATAGTCGTTAAGATCCCCTGCCCATGTTCATTTGTAAAATATATACATTGAATGTGAGCAATATGGAGAACTGGAAAAGATATCGGCCAATAAAGGTCACAGCAGTCTCCTTAAATATGCACAGAATTTTCCAGTAATCAAACTTCAACAAGGGATTAAGGTTAAAAGTCTGCAAAGCAAGTCTCATCATAATGTACTTGTACCTCTCAAAGATAACTTGTGGAAAGCAATCATTTAGAATGCCAAAAGAAGCAAGTTTCCTGCAAATCTTATTCCTTCCAAAGATAATGTGCAGAAAGACTTCCCATTGAGTGATTAAAGAGAAAGTGTGAGAGGTTTGACCTTAACAAATATTAACACTCTCAAAACTCTTTGAAGGCCTTGACAACATAACACACTACCGTAAAAACCCACGTAATGTCCGCATCTGTGTAATGTCCGCACCCCTTTTTTGACACAAAAATCTGGGGAAAAAACCCACCTTCCATGTAATGTCCGCGGGTAAAAAATGCAAATTTAAGCTGCCGATTTCATTTCACGAGCTAAGTGTAATGGCCGAAGCATGTCGCAATGGTCACAGCAGCCTTCAAGAATTCACTTAATTGTTTATAACAACAGTTATTCAACCAAATTTCATGAAAATCTTACAAGTCCTCCTTTCGATAATTGGTGTTTTGATAAGGGTTAGCCCAGCAGTGTTATAAACAGCTTGGGTCGTCTCCTCACCTCGAGTGTGAGTGAGTGACAGCGTGTGATTAGCCAATTAACGATAACTATAAAGTCAAGACCTTTCCTGCACTATATCATTAGGGCTATTTGTGTACACACCATCAGACGACGAGAACGCCATTTATTACAACGACCAGAAGGTTTTGACAACTTCAAGAGGAGTTCTTACAGTGAATAGTATTTCATTGAGAATTTGCTAAGAAATAATAAACAGGCCTGCTGTGTATTAAGACTTTCTGAGAAACAATTCATAATCAATAAAACGTCTGATTATTTATTTTATGTTATTAGTGTACATGTTATTTATTGTTATTTTGTAAATAAAATGTAGAATAAAAAATGTGTTAAACATGTTTATGCTCATGGGTATGCTTTTTCAATGGGGAAAGGGGCTTCCAACTTTATTCATGTGACAAAGTCGAACAAAATGGCTTCTCACACATAAGACACAATCCAAAACTGATCGAAAAATTAGGAATTAATCATGGGGTATAATAAATAATCATAAATAACATGTTTGGTTGAGGAAACTCATAGAAAAAAATAGAACGAAATATTTGCTTGGCTTTTAAGAACACAATTCAAGGAGATATGATATGAATTGTCGGAAGGAAAAAAGTGTCATTTCCTTAACAAATATTACCCCACTCTCATTGATTTTCGGTGAAAAAAAGGCCTTGACAACATAACACACTAATTTGAAATACAAACCATCCCGTAGCTCCTCCAATAGCAACTTGCTTCGCTGCAGATTGTTTTGAAATGTCTCCAAACACTTTCTGTATCCAGTTATTGCCTCTACGAATCGCTTCTAAGTCAAGGACCTCAAAGGGCTCATTGTCATCAGGATTGCCTGCCATCTTCTCCGATTTATGAGTTTGTTATTTACTGAAGTTCATTGAAGAAAGTAATTCATTATTTGAAACCAGAAACCTGTGCATTTGACAATATTACAATAATCTGACTTAAATTTCTATAAAAGACTACAAAACTGCCACAAAACTTTAACCATTTACAAAGAAACTCTGTTCTTTTAAAGAAATATGTTTTTTCTGAAGACAGCAAAAAAATCCTAGGTACCCCACCACATGGAGTCGCACCTCCTATGTAGAAGACTTCCTTTTTATTTGCTTATGACAATAAGAATATCTGATGGTTTGATTCTTAAAAACAATCTGTTTTCCCTTTTCCTGCTGGTACCATTGACAGTAATTATTTTTCTGATCTTATTGTGAGAAAAATGAAGTCCTAAACAGAGATCTAAATCTGTGGTAAAGTGTTTATCATGTTGCTAATTTCTATATGTGAAAATACAAAAAGAGCTAGCAAACAGCACAGAGGCTGAAACAAAATAATAAGAGGGCAGTCCCTTGGAACTCAGTGTTCAGTAGTCAAACATATGTGGGCTGTTGCTTAAATTATGAACACTATATAGCAATGCAATTTAAATTTTGATGATAAATTATGTATATTAGATAATTTTGTTTCAGTATTACATTTCTTCTTTGGAGGTGGCGGCAAAACATCACTTTTTGAAACTTGAAAATAGGATAAACTATTGCTAGTGGTTGAGAAACACAGTGGTGCAAACTGTGCATGGGGTGAAATGTCTGATATTTGTAACAGGGATGTATAGAGAGAATAGTAGAAAGCACTGAACAGCCTGATCATAGCCAAACAAGAAGTAGAGTTCAATGTCATATAAAAAATGATACAAATTAATCAAAATGACATTGTCATAACAAAATATGTTTGTAATGGAAAATTACTGTTTTTGAATGCCACTGATTTAGACAAGGTCATTTTAATATTTTGAATTGAAAGTGGGCTTGATAAGTTATGGGAAAACCAAGATATCATTTTTAATTATAGAGCTGATATATCAATATAGAATGTCTTAATAGTAATTCAACGGAACTAAAAAATATTATTTTGATTTGTACATACTATATTTATTATAAAATATCATGTATATATATTGTATGTTTTTTAATAGAAATATATTTGTAATCACAAAAGTTAAAGTCAAGGGTAATTTTTCAGTTTGTTCTTAACGAAAAATAATAACTGAATTCGTTTAAAATTCAAAAGTTAATAGAAATTATTTGTCACAAACGTTAGCAGGTTCTACATAAAAATTGTTCAGCCTTCTACTACATTTTGAAGAAAAAGCACTATGTATTTGTAGGAAAATGGTACAATAACATAGCAACTCCGATGTATTTACTACAAAATATAGCGTCTCTAACATACTATTCCTTTTATTTTACGTCCTGCTTTAAGCAACATTTTAGGACATATACTTCGAGTCTTTTTAAAATGAAGTCAGTCACCAGAAAGGAAAAAGATATGTGCCGTTCCATTTATGACATTTGCATATGGTAGACAAGGAGTTGATTGAATGTCAAATGTTTCATCAGAAATCTGACAATCAAGAAATGCGTGTCGAACTTCCAACAATGAATGAACAGTTAGACCAATTTAAACTACAAAACACTGAACCATTGACAAATGTTTAAAAGACACATAGGGTCACCTTTCCATATAGATATGTCCCTGTCAACTTCTGACTTCGCACTTGTTAAGATATCTCTCCTGTGTTTTTTAGTTTCGTTTCTACTATTTTTTGCTATTTTACGAAATACATCGTCGCTTGACCAGTCACTATCTAATTTTATCGTTATGGTTTAACATTTCAGAACAACATCATTCGATACTAGTATAATTATGCATATGTATATGTATTACATCTAAATTTGGTCGTAATCTGTTGGATATATATAACAATAAATCAATTTGAAGTGTGTCAATTTCGTTTTTATCACGTTTTGTAAGATAGCTAAATTTGATCAACCGAAGAGTATAAGTAACAACAGATTTCATTGGATACTCGAAACTAGGTCACTAGGTCTATTCTCTGGCATCTTTGTAGTGAGAACCGGAAAATGACTTTTTCATCAACATTTCATGCAGTTTAGACCAACTGTGCATTCAAGAGACTACACTAATTTGCAATTAGTTTAGTGTGCAAGCGGGAAAGCCTGAACTATGAATCTTGAAGGAATGGAAATAGTTCTTCAAAATGAAGAAAAGAAGCAACTTGCAGAGTTCGACAGGTTAGCCTCATGCTAAAGTAGTTTGTGTACTGGGGCTCAATAACGTTATCTCAATGTAACGTGCTCATGTGATCTGACTGTTGTTATCAGATAATGAACTTTGTTTTTCTTCTTCTTTTATATGATTGAACAGCAGGAACAAACTTAAATTTTGTAATTTATCCTATTGTCAATACTCTCATGGTACTCTACAGTGTAGCTTGAAATCAAATATTATTTGGCATGTCTTCTTCTTAGAGACAAATCTCTAAAACAGAGCGATTACTGTCTCTATTTCTGGACTTGGTGCATAAAAAATTGTAGTTAAAACTGAATATGTTAAGCAAAGGTATATATAATGTATCAAATGATAAGGGGGAGGGTGGTATTCTGTCTCATGGCAAGGGGTATGGTAATTGTTTAATGTGGAAAGTATAGACCAGCTTTGAATGACTCAAGACTGTCAGCAGAGGAGAGTAAGCTGTTTCAGTTTTTTATGATCCCTGGCTTGTATAAGTAAGAGAACTTAAAAAAGTCTTTGGATGCCTGTATATGACGATGGTGTTGGTTCCCACGAGTGTTGGCTTTGCTTAAGTACTTTTTGACTGGTAGAGCTATGAGGTCTTCAGTAATGTTATAAAAGTTGACCAGCCTTTTCTTCGTCTGTTGGCTTTGAAGAGAGAACCATTTGAGGGAGTCAGCCATTGCTGAAACCAACCTTGTTATGTGTGCCTTCGCAAAATTACTGCTAACATGTGGTCCCAAGGACAGGTCATCAGATAGATTAACTCCTAGGTACAATGTACCTAATAATTAGGATTATTTGCAGTGATTTCTGATTGAGCGAATAGTTGAAGGAGATGGAGTGATGTTTTTAAAATGTCCTAATTAGAAAGCATGTATCAGAATTAAAATTCAATGGCCAGTTAGATTCCCACACATCTTGAAGTGTACACGATGTTGCTGGAGCTGCTCACAGTCTCTGATTCTGTTGATGGGTCTATAAAGGAGATACTCATCAGCAAAGTGAAAAGCATTGGGAAGTACAGAATAGGGATGGCCATTATGAAGAGGAAGAACAGTAATGGCCCAAGACCTGTACCTTGCAGAATGCCGGTGTCCACTGAAAGAGAAGAACTGGTATTGTTGATAAGGACCTTTTGTCATCGATTATATAGAAATGAGGAGATCCAGATAAGGGAGTTGTTGCGGATATTATAGTGGTTAAATTTGCTTATAAGGCAATGGTAGAGAGGATTGTCAAAAATCAAGGACATGTAGTACCATGTTAATATGTTCATATCTTTTATATTTCTGGTTATACCTTGTTGAATAATAATTTGACAGTTTGCATATTAAGTCATGTTTTGAGTCGGTGAGAATGTTGCGATTGTCTTGATGTGTCATTAAGCTGCTATGGAGAATGTGTTCTTTGAGCTTGCTCTGTAGGTAGAGCACTTTGTTATGGTCCTCTTTCTTAAAGATAGGTGCAATATTGGCTGATAACCAATATAATGGGACATTGCTAGTGTCCAGCACAAACTAAGAAGAAAGTTAATAAAGGGAGATAACTCATAGTAGAATATGATCTACCCCTGCTCGGTGACTTGGATATATATGCCATATCTGGAAAGGGCTGCTCTTGGAGATTTATGCGGTGTCTTTTTTAGTGATTGTAGACTTTTCCAAGTCTTAGTTATAATGTGAGAATCTTGTTTTTTTATATGATTAACACCCCTAACTTTCATACAACTGCCTGTCATTATCTTTCTAAACCTGTAAACCTTTTTACCTTTCTGTAAGTATACCTGAAGTTTGTACCCACACAAAGCATTGAATAGGAAATTATAATTAGCATCCATATTTATAAGTACTAGTCAAAAGACAGGAAGTGACAACCTAAGGATGTTAAAGATTATGCAGCTGATGAAAACAATGAACTGAAAGATATGTGAAGGCAAAGAAATTATCTTATTAGATGTGACAGAATAGAAAGTTATGAAAGGAATTTTCATTGATTGTTCTGACTTAAAAATCTTATTAGTATAATTTTTTTTTTAGAATACCCCAAAGTGCAATTTAATCAATGCTTAACTGCTTTCACTTGGTATTTTCTGTGTATTATATGAAATTGGAAACCAGATCTAACAATATTTTTATTACAAAACAAATGATACAGTGTCTGTATACAGTTAAAGTGCTATAGAAATAAGGATATTCAAATTTGATTCATGCGCTTAACATTATATGAAGAATTATATAGTGGGGCTGTCCTGAGTTCCAAATATCCATCCATGATGTCGGATCTTTTACATACATCATCTTTATAAATAAGATAGCATTTCAGATTATTCTAGTATTGCTGACCTTCACAGGACATGTACTATGATAGAGAAGTTTTGACCAGATTGCTTGAATTAATATCACATGCCTTGATCTAAGAGGCAAAACATGATTGTATTTGTATGAATAATTACAATGTTCCAACCATAATATCTCTGTTATAATTTTTGTCTTACAGTCGATTGTTTGGATTCTTAAAGTTCAACTCACCAGAAGGGGCTTTAAAGAAAGGTCTACTGGAAAAGGTAATGCATGTAGTGTTTAAAAAGCAAAACTTGTAATGTGTATATAGTGTTGATATAGAAGTAGTATCAGTAAAAAGCTATGGCTATTGACTCAGATTTTGGGATCAACATACAATATACTTTTGGGTGGAGTAAGTGAAGGAGGTTTATAGAACAGTTATGGATATGTTAACACTTGTGAGCTTTACTATACAAATTACATGGAGTAGCTGTATTTCAAATTCACAAATAAAGATACCTCAACTAATGCAAACTGATAACAAATAGAATCTATGTTGTAATTATCTCCCTTTACAGAAAATGTTTGTAAGAATGGTTGTGTTGAAACAAAATATGGTATTATGGTTTGTGTTTATGTGTAGTTCCTTACTCATTACAGGGAGATAACTCCACATTACTAGAGAAATACACAAATAACAAATACACTAAACTTTTGCAAGGTCCATCATTCTTTATGTCTAACACAATTTTCAGAAAAAAATGGTAAATACCTGCTTCAAGAATTCTGAATTATCAGACTAACTACCATAAAAGCACAGTATTATTCAATATTTGACTACAAAACTGGTGTCAGCTCATGCTTTGATAGATTTTGTATTTGTCTACACAGGGTATAAAGCACTTTGAGCAGGTGATCCGTGAAAATGCCAAGCAGAACCAAGCCAGTGGTGTAGAGGGAGGAGAGAAGGACAGTGGTGTGGACACCACAATCTACTGTCAGTTAGGCCACCTTCTACTGCTATTAGAACAATACCCAAAAGGTACAGGCCTCGAATTTAAGGCCTTTTACTGGCTATTTACAAGTAGAAATCCAAGAATTGCAAGTAGAAAAAATAATGACTTGCTTTTTTCAGCAAGTGGATTCATCAGATGCAAACTGTGAGTGCCTGTCTATTCCTTACATTCACGGAATTGAATTGTTTTGAGTTTTGATTTTCAAAGTGTAAATATTGGGACAAAGCAGTTCTTCTATAATGTTGATATATATTGGATGAAGCAAGGTAATACATTACAAATCACAAAACACATTATTTGAACATGCAGATTTGCGATAATAGCAAGTAATAAGTCATTTTAGCAAGTAAAAATTTAAGACACTTGCTGTTTTCAGCAAGTGACAAAAAATGTTAGATTCAAGGCCTGAAGGTATAAGCTAAAGGATTGTTTTAGTTGGCCAAGCATTGCTCCTTGGGAACATAAGAATTTGTTCTCAGCTGTCAGTCAGCTAACAAAACATGTTAACCTTCTTTGCCCTAAGATTTTAAAGTCATGAGTTATCACCACCAGGTTTAATTCCTGTCTTTGAGTATTTTCAACATTAACATGGAATTTTGCAGGAAGTAAGGAACATAACATTAAATTTATGAGAATCATGAAGAATTTTAAATTCTTCCTCATTGCCTTTATGACAAACATGTTCAATACTAAAAGTTGTTGTCAAATGCAGAAGGAAGACCCATAATAAAATGTAACTACTACAAAAATTTAAGGATGTCTTCCCATCAATTGCAAACCACAGTGGGAATTTCAGTTTATCTCTTGGCACAGTAAGAGTTGCGTCCCTTTATTCACTCACTAACAGAAATGGCCTTCCAATTTTTTTACTCCTATATCTTTACTAAAAAGTAGTCTTTATTCAAAAAATGTAAATTTTAGTAGTAATCGAATTTGATATTTGTATTCTTGTTGGTATTGGGCTGTTGTTTTATAAATATCTTGGTCAGTAAACCACTGTTTTCATCGCCAGAATACACAGTACAAAGTGTTAGAATCTCTACATCACTCCGATAAGTGAAGCCATTGAAATGTTACTGATATTGGTCTGTATTTATTTCAGCACTGTCGGCATACCAGCGGTTCTATTATCTGAAGCCTGATTACTGGAAGGTAAGCATTTCATAATAAGATGTAGTCTGCTAATGGCTACGATATCCTTTCTCAAACCAAGACCTGTTGCATACCTCGGTTATGATAGTCATAAATTTTTGATGCTTAAATTATTTAAATTCCGTTGTTGCTATGCTGCAACAGACCTTTTTATTTATTTCTTATTCAAATAGCAATCCATCAAATTTATGTGATATTCATTTTTGAAAGCAATTACATTCCATCAAGTGTGAATGACGAGTTACAATGGTTCTTAGCTTTCATCAAAAGAAATTAAACCAATACAGGACAAAAAGGTGCATCGTTATATAACATATACATGTACAGTAGGTTACATAAATATTGTTACCCTATCAACTGAACAATTTGATTTCTTTTGTTCCCATGGTTATGTGGTCTTACATAAATATTGTTACCCTATCAACTGAACAATTTGATTTCTTTTGTTCCCATGGTTATGTGGTCTTGCTGATACATTATTGTTTTTCTCTCACTTGGACATTAAATGATGATTTTAAATACCAAAACACTCCAGAAAGTCTTTTGTATTGTTCATGATAGTTGAATGAGACTTATATTGATTTCTGGTTTAAGGTAGTCTGTTGCCTTTTTTTTATTAGGGTTTACAAGAAAAAGAAACAAATTTTCTGACTTTTAAAGATCTTCCTCAGAGCAGTTCTTTCTTAGGGATTAAATTTAGTTTAGAAGAGTCAGGATAGACTACCCCTGTAATGGGCTAAGTAAGAAATAAAACTTCTTTTAAAATAACGAGAAGTAACTATATTTGGTCAGCTGTATAAAGCTTTCTATTATTGTAGGACTCATCGTTCCTGTATGGACTTGGTCTGGTGTACTTCCACTTCAATGCCTTCCCACTGTAAGTTATATCTCTTTGTTAGACTCATTGCTTCTGTGCTTTCTGCTTCCAACAGGTTTTTCTATTGAGTGAGTGCTTCTATAAAGTTTTGTTTTCATGCTGCACAATTTATGTTGAAATGAAACATCACAGTCTCAGACTGGGACATCACACTGATCAACATTACTGCATGTCATTTGACTCGTATCATTTTATTTCAACCAGAATAAATGTTCAAATGAATGTTTTCCTGTATTGAGCTTCATAATACTTGAGTAATTTGTAAGGGTGAAACCAGGATTAACACTCAGGACATCCATGTTGAGGATTGAAATTCTTATTGATTAAATTAACTTCATTTGTGCTAAGATTACTGACTTTGTAAGCATTTATAATCAATTTAGTATAAGAAAAGTGAATGTGTACACAAAATTTACATATGTAATTACAAAGGTGACTGACTAGTTCTTTTCTTTACCTGGTATTGGTCACATCTTTGCTTTTTGCGTTTAAAACTTCAGCAAACTAGAAGTACTCCACTTGGTCAACTAATCAAAATCTGTAAATCAAAATTGTTTGATTCACTGTTGGTCTACATAATGTCTAATATACCATTGTTACCTGTCCAACATTTCTGAATGTTTCAAGTTTCACAGCAGTTTCTTATCATCATCATCATCATATACATGAACCAGAACTTTTTCTCATTAGCCATTGTGAAAACCTCATCAATATCATATTGGAGTTGTTGTGTGTGATGGAAAGTTGTATATGATGTCAACCAGCTTGAGACACACATTTTGTCCAGCAACATGTGAGGAATTACCATCCAAAGACATATCACTTCTCGGTTTGTCATCTGGTCAGATATTAATTGTTTGTAAAAGAGTCTGAGTGTAACTGTGTTAATGATATGTAAGGATATGTTGAGGTTGATCTGGTTTGTAAACAGATACCGGCATGTTATTAATTCATTCTGTGTACACATTGAAATGTTTCAACCTTATAAGTGGTTGTTCTGTTTATGTTGGTATGTCTGATAGGTTGAGTGCTTTATTTACAATATTGAAGTAGAGAGCGAGATTATTATTTCCGTGGTTTAAGATTTCTTGCCAATTTCACATGGATTGAAAAGCATATTAGCCATGTCAGATGATAAAAATATATGATACTACTATACAGATTCCAAAAAACCAGTGATTGATGTAGTTTCCAAATAGCATATTTGAGATAGGTTATAAGATTATATCTGTCCATTCATCCATCAGTCAGTCTTTCATTCTCTGGTTTCTATGCGATAAGTTTCGTTAACATTATCCTCTGCATTAAAAACAGCATGAAATTTCTTGATAAGACTTCATCAGTTAATTCATTCGTCAATCATTCTGTCACTTCTAGGTTTATTTGTGATAACTTCCGTGAAAATTATCCTTTGTGTCACAAACAGCAGATTTCAGATATAAGGTTATTTCTATCTGTCCATCCATCTGTCTGTCTATCACTCATTGGTATCCATGTGATATATTTGTCAAAATTATCCTTTTATCACAAACAACAGGAGATTTCCAATATACAGTTATGTCTGTCCATTCTTAAGCCTGTCTGTCAGTCTTTGGTCTCAATATTGTAATTTCACTGAAAATATCCATTCAACACTTCTACTTGTGTGTCAATGTATTGTAGATAGTTATCAACTACTTAACAAGATTGGACTTGATAACCATCATTATCTGTAAATTTTACACGAATGAGCTATAATTGATTAATTACAATCAGTCATTTTAATTATTGCTGTTGCTTCCATAAATTTTGAATTTCATGGATGTGAATGGGCTTTTTATTGATCAAGGTTTATTTAGATGATGACTGTATTTTCTGGGTTTTAAGTCACACCCTTTCATACAAAGTGGTAACTGTTATGTTGACCAAAGTTTGTTGATATTACAGACAACGGAGAGCAATTTATCAAGATCATCAGTCAAACATTTCATAAAGTTTGCATATGAATTATACATGGATAATCCTTTATTTTATCAATGTAATTCCAACAGAGATCTAAGTTTGGTTCCAGGTTAGGACATTCGACAGGAATGTGTAGTTTCCCTGTTCTTTCACCAATGTATGTTGTATTTCAATATATGTATTTAATTGATCTCACCAGTGACCTTGTCTTACTTAGCTGATGAAATATTTTCATTATACATGGCTCCTAGCTGTTGTTTACTAATGCTTTGATGTACAGCTTTGATAAATATGTACTGGGTGCAATTGAACACTTAAGAGCTATGTAGGATGGTGATCCTTATTGTGTTTGACTGACATAGGTTTAGCCTATATAGGACTGTGATCCTTATTGTGTTTGACTGACATAGGTTTAGCCTATATAGGACTGTGATCCTTATTGTGTTTGACTGTACATAGTTTTATTGCTATATAGGACTGTGATCCTTATTGTGTTTGACTGACAAAGGTTTAGCCTATATAGGACTGTGATTTATTGTGTATGATATAGGTTTAGCCTATATAAGACTGTGATCCTTATTGTGTTTGACTGTACATAGTTTTATTGCTATATAGGACTGTGATCCTTATTGTGTTTGACTGACATAGGTTTAGCCTATATAGGACTGTGATCCTTATTGTGTTTGACTGACATAGGTTTAGCCTATATAGGACTGTGATCCTTATTGTGTTTGACTGACATAGGTTTATTGCTATATAGGACTGTGATCCTTATTGTGTTTGACTGACATAGGTTTAGCCTATATAGGACTGTGATCCTTATTGTGTTTGACTGACATAGGTTTATTGCTATATAGGACTGTGATCCTTATTGTGTTTGACTGACAAAGGTTTAGCCTATATAGGACTGTGATCCTTATTGTGTTTGACTGTACATAGTTTTATTGCTATATAGGACTGTGATCCTTATTGTGTTTGACTGACATAGGTTTATTGCTATATAGGACTGTGATCCTTATTGTGTTTGACTGACATAAATTTATTGCTATATAGGACTGTGATCCTTATTGTGTTTGACTGACAAAGGTTTAGCCTATACGGGACTGTGATCCTTATTGTGTTTGACTGACATAGGTTTAGCCTATATAGGACTGTGATCCTTATTGTGTTTGACTGACATAGGTTTATTGCTATATAGGACTGTGATCCTTATTGTGTTTGACTGACATAGGTTTAGCCTATATAGGACTGTGATCCTTATTGTGTTTGACTGACATAGGTTTATTGCTATATAGGACTGTGATCATTATTGTGTTTGACTGACAAAGGTTTAGCCTATATAGGACTGTGATCCTTATTGTGTTTGACTGACATAGGTTTATTGCTATATAGGACTGTGATCCTTATTGTGTTTGACTGACATAAATTTATTGCTATATAGGACTGTGATCCTTATTGTGTTTGACTGACAAAGGTTTAGCCTATATAGGACTGTGATCCTTATTGTGTTTGACTGTACATAGTTTTATTGCTATATAGGACTGTGATCCTTATTGTGTTTGACTGACATAGGTTTAGCCTATATAGGACTGTGATCCTTATTGTGTTTGACTGACATAGGTTTATTGCTATATAGGACTGTGATCCTTATTGTGTTTGACTGACATAGGTTTAGCCTATATAGGACTGTGATCCTTATTGTGTTTGACTGACATAGGTTTAGCCTATATAGGACTGATCCTTATTGTGTTTGACTGACATAGGTTTATTGCTATATAGGACTGTGATCCTTATTGTGTTTGACTGACATAGGTTTATTGCTGTATAGGACTGTGATCGTTATTGTGTTTGACTGACATAGGTTTAGCCTATATAGGACTGTGATCCTTATTGTGTTTGACTGACAAAGCTTTATTGGCCGGGTTGCACATAGTGCAAATCTGGGTTATAGTGTGGTGATTGTTGGGTGGGCATGCAGATGGGTGGCTGGGCAGGCCGGAGGGTGGGCGGGGAAAAGGGGTACCAGTTTTGTAGAATCATCTCCTCCTAGAGTTTTTGACATAGAAGCTTGAAACTTTTGAGGATGTTGTTGAGGATGCGCACCTCTTATCATGGATTAATTCCAGACGTTGTTCTTGATTTTCCTGGCTTTGGAATGTAGCCATCTTCCACAACTCCTCATAGAGTTTTTGACAAGGAAGCTTGAAACTTTGTAGGATGTTTATATGTATGTTGAAGATGTGCACCTATTTATTTAGGATTCATTCCGGATTTTTTTTCTTGATTTTCTGGGATTTGGAACATAGTCATTTTCAACAATCTGGCATGGAAAATACAAAATGGCAGCCTTTGCCTCTCATTGGTTAAGATGTTGTTTTGAGCGTGATAGCCTCTCATTGGCTGAAACGTTGTTTTGAGCATGATATATAACATTGCACTCATCCCGCAACCCGACCAATTGTTACTTTGCCCCAATTTTTCTGTATAGGACTGTGATCCTTACTGTATTTGACTGTACATAGTTATAGAGCAAGGTAGAACTGTTATTATAATTGTATTTTTAAAAACTTTTCCAGTTATTTTCAATATATATATGATACATATACAAAAACATTATCAACCAACCATATTATGATAGTCACTTGAAAATCCTCATCATTCACATATATCGATCCTCATCATCATGGAAGATTGTATTCTGTTTTTAACATTATCTAAATTACAGTATCTTATATTGATTGGTGCCTTGTCATGGGTACTGATACATTGGCCAATGGCTGAAATAATATGTTACTGTGTGATAAACGTAAGATGGTTATTTAATTTAATTATACTTAAGTGTATTTTTACTGACCATTTTCTACTCTAAACTTTGGTATGTTGAGTTTTTTTATCGTTATTTTCTACTGTCAACTCCAGCACTCAATGATCCATGTTATTTAGATGGGTAATAATTCTCTTAAATTGGATAGGTTTATTGTTTGATAGATAATTAGGTGTAAGATGAATGAATGAGGGATCAGCAGGGGATATTGTAATCATGCCGAGGCAGTCACTCT